TCTTTCTTTCTTTCTTTCTTTCATCCTTCTGTATGTCTTTCTTTCTTTTATCCGTCTGTCTTTCTTTCTCTCCTCCCTTGTCTTTCTTTCTTCTGTCCATCTGTCCGTCTCTTTCTTTCTTTCTTTCTTTCATCCTTCTGTATGTCTTTCTTTCTTTCATCCGTCTGTCTTTCTTTCTCTCCTCCCTTGTCTTTCTTTCTTTCTATCTTTCTTTCTTTCATCCTTCTGTATGTCTGTCTTTCAGTCTTTCATCAATCTGTCTGTCGCTTTCTTTCTTTCATCCCTCTGTCTTTCTTTCTCTCCTCCCTTGTCTTTCTTTCTTCTGTCCGCCCGTCTGTCTTCTTTCTTTCTTTCTATCTTTCTTTCTTTCATCCTTCTGTGTCTTTCTTTCTTTCTTTCTTTCATCTGTCTGTCTTTCTTTCTTCTGTCCATCTGTCCATCTTCTTTCTTTCTTTCTTTCTTTCTTTCTTTCTTTCTTTCTTTCTTTCTTTCTTTCTTTCATCCATATGTCTGTCACTTTCTTTCTTTTATCCGTCTGTCTTTCTTTCTCTCCTCCCTTCTCTTTCTTTCTTCTGTCCGTCTTTGTTCTTTCTTTCTTTCTTTCTTTCTTTCTTTCTTTCATCCTTCTGTATGTCTGTCTTTCTTTCTTTCTTTCATCAATCTTTCTGTCGCTTTCTTTCTTTCATCCGTCTGTCTTTCTTTCTCTCCTCCCTTGTCTTTCTTCTGTCCATCTGTCCGTCTTCTTTCTTTCTTTCTTTCTTTCTTTCTTTCTTTCTTTCTTTCTTTCTTTCTTTCTTTCTTTCTTTCTTTCTTTCTTTCTTTCTTTCTTTCTTTCTTTCTTTCTTTCTTTCTTTCTTTCTTTCTTTCTTTCTTTCTTTCTTTCTTTCTTTCTTTCTTTCTTTCTTTCTTTCTTTCTTTCTTTCTTTCTTTCTTTCTTTCTTTCTTTCTTTCTTTCTTTCTTTCTTTCTTTCTTTCTTTCTTTCTTTCTTTCTTTCTTTCTTTCTTTCTTTCTTTCTTTCTTTCTTTCTTTCTTTCTTTCTTTCTTTCTTTCTTTCTTTCTTTCTTTCTTTCTTTCTTTCTTTCTTTCTTTCTTTCTTTCTTTCTTTCTTTCTTTCTTTCTTTCTTTCTTTCTTTCTTTCTTTCTTTCTTTCTTTCTTTCTTTCTTTCTTTCTTTCTTTCTTTCTTTCTTTCTTTCTTTCTTTCTTTCTTTCTTTCTTTCTTTCTTTCTTTCTTTCTTTCTTTCTTTCTTTCTTTCTTTCTTTCTTTCTTTCTTTCTTTCTTTCTTTCTTTCTTTCTTTCTTTCTTTCTTTCTTTTTTTCTTTCTTTCATCCGTCTGTCTTTCTTTCTCTCCTCCCTAGTCTTCCTTTCTTCTGTCCATCTTCTTTCTTTCTTTCTATCTTTCTTTCTTTCATCCTTCTGTATGTTTGTCTTTCTTTCTTTCATCAATCTGTCTGTCGCTTTCTTTCTTTCTTTCATCCGTCTGTCTTTCTTTCTCTCCTCCCTTGTCTTTCTTCTGTCCATCTGTCCGTCTTCTTTCTTTCTTTCTTTCATCCATCTGTCGCTTTTTTCTTTCTTTTATCCGTCTGTCTTGCTTTCTCTCCTCCCTTGTCTTTCTTTCTTCTGTCCATCTGTCCGTCTTCTTTCTTTTTTCTTTCATGCTTCTGTCTGTCTGTCTTTCTTTCATCGCTTGTCTTTCTTTCTTTCTTTCTTTCTTTCCTTGTCTTTCTACTGTCCATCTTTCTTTTTTTTCTTTTTCATCCATCTGTCCCTCTTTCTTTCTATCTTCCCTTGTCTTTCTTTCTTTCTTTCTTTCTTTTTTCATCCATCTTTCTTTTTATCTTCACTTGTCTTTTTTCTTTTGTCCGTCTTCTTTATTTCTTTCTTTCTGTAATGTAATTGTTTTGTCTCATGTTGTTTATTCATTGTCTCTGTTTTTGATTCTGTCCTCATCATCCTCTCCTCTGACTGTGTTCATGCTTGCTCTACATGTTGCATGTAAGAGTCTGATTGCCTCATTTCACCTTATAGCTTTTCTCACATCATATATTTGATGTAGGTGCCAGTGTTGTTAATGTGTACATGAGCAATGTGACGTGAGATACATACAGATGAACCAAAACATTTGTTTCCAATAGCAAACATTCTTTCTTGGACAGGAAATATTACCTCATAAAATGGAGTGAGGCAAAGTTTTGTTAAGCAATCTAGATTTTAATATCTTACTCAAAAACATGAATCATATTTTGACAGCCAAATGTAAAGAAATAGGTTTTTAAACTGTCTAAACTTTATAATATAATACATTTAGATTTAATTTGGTTAAATCTGAATGTTGAGTTATTTTATGTTAAAACTTAACATAGTTAAATACAGAAATATTGACTTTTCACAGTATTCTGTTCACAGAAACACAATCTTCTACTCGCATTCTCTTCATTTCTATCGTATTCAAAAAATGTGAATGTTTATGCAAAGGAGACACAAAGGAGATTAAATATAAATAAAATACAGATTTTTTTTCCATGAAAGTACTGAGTTTAATTTATTTTCTTCCTTCTCTCTGTAGAAGAACATATTAATCAGATGTATGCCTACATAAATTAACTTTTTAGACACTGTATATTTCTATAGCTCAACAGAAACTTTCACTGTGATGTATTGTAGACCTGGAGTACATTAACACTCAACCCAAAGCTGAAAGTAAACTATAGAGAGAGAAATGTTAACATCATTTGGTTCCTCTTTAGAACCCCAAATTCCAGGAGCCTGTTACACTGGATTTTCTGGATGCTGAGCTGGAAAATGATATTAAAGTCCAGGTATGCCACAACACACACATACAGTACAAACACAAATAGCATGATGTCACCAGTTTTATTTTATTGCTTTTTATTTTTATTATTTTATAACAACTGAGAGGTTTTGATTTCATGTGTGGTATTTCAATACTTACAAATGCTTACATTTCTGTTACAAAACATGTGCTGAAAACACCCTTTTGCTCAAGGGATGCATAGTTAGCTTAGATAGTAGTGATTTATGATAGTAGTGGACATAATGCCTGACCACAAGTCACAGAGCTTTTTTTTTTGTACAGAATAAAATGCGTTTGCAGATAAAAATGTTCATTAGGAGCAGTGTAATTAAGTAATGAATTGTACTTTGATTGCAATTTGAACCTTGCTATGTGTACTGCGTTAGACTAACCGAGACTTGTCGTAGCACTTGCATATTTTTGCTCTTTTGTTGGTTTTGATTGCTTCTATTGTCCTTATTTGTAAGTCGCTTTGGATAAAAGCTTCTGCTAAATGACTAAATGTAAATGTACTTTTCCCTTGAAAAAGTAAAGGATTACTGTAATTTAATTTGTTACTTCTCATGTAATTGCATTAAATACTGTATAGACTATAGAAAAAATTCTGTATAAAACAATAGTGGATTTACCATCCAAATTTAACATTTAATGTTAATATATATGTATTTCATGTAACTTTCTCCTTGTAAATACTTTGGTCAGTTCAATAATCATTTATGCAATTTTATATGATTTATTTGAAATAATTAAAAGAGCCACTTCATGTCTATCCTTGTATTGTTTAACTGGAGCAATTAATTACTTTTTAGAGTAACTTACTCAACACTGTAGTACCAGTGTAAAAGTCAAAGTACCATGGTATTTGCATCATTACTATAGTTCACACTGATTATTCTGATCTCTCTCGCTCTCTCAGATACGGACTCTGATGATTGACAGAGACCCTGGGGAGAAAACAATAGAAACGCTTGTGAAATCTCAAGATGAGGTGTGTAGATCTTCTATAATTGTCACCATATTTTGTCAATATTTGCTTCACCTATACCGTTTATTTACAATATCAGAGATACATTGATCGAGGAGTCAGGACGTACACCTGGGCGCCGGTTAACGGGACAGACTACAGGTGGTTTGTTGGCTTTACCTATGCAAAGTGTTTCATAACCCTCCTAAGTATTTCTATGTGTAAAACGTTGTCTTTTTCCTCTGTGTGTGGGTGTTCTTCAGCCTGGCCTTGGTTTTGCCTGAATACAGTCTGCATTACATCGAGGCAAACATGGGGGACACTATAAAACAAGCCATGTGTGAGTACCGTCTGTTCGCCCAGAACACACAAACCAGCTCCCCACGTTGAGCAAACACACTATCATTTACTAAAGATCAGATAGAGCCTTCGGCATGCAAAGCTATTGTTTTATGAAATAGCTGAGAATAATATTTCTCATCGGCTCGCGAGAGAGGTCTGCCTGTTTGTGTGTGTGTGACCTCGATTGTCAGGGCTGCTCTCTGTATTAAACTGAGGTCCAGCTGGTCTCCACCCATCCTGAGCAGTGTAGCCAGGCGTTTGATCTGACTCTCCCCAGCACACAGGGGCCCCGGCTGGGAAGAGAGACTGCGAACACTCCCTCCCCTCTGGATATGTGCTGCTGAGCTCCAGATCTGCACACATACACAGACGCTCAAATCATTTGGAGGATTATTCCAGGTTGAGCTCTGTCGATGGCGTGTGGCTTGCTGTCAATTTAGCAAACTGAGTCGAAAATGATTTCGAATCGTATCTCGTTGCCCCATAGACTTCTGTTTCCGTGGTAATTGACAGATGCTGTCGATAGAGCTTAACTTGTACTTAAGCCAGAACATTCTTTAAAGGAATAGTTCACCCAGAAATGAAAATTGCCGTTATTTTTCTGGTTGTTTTATGTTGCTCCTTTTCATATAATGAATGTTTATAGTACCTAAAACATCACTATATGATCATATGTAGTCTAAATGGCTCCTGTAGTATATAGAAGTCTTTTGAAGCTTTACGAACAGACCAAAGTCATTATAGGCATTCGAATCACAGAGGTGAATTCGACAACCAGATCAGTCTGATTTTTAAACCGGTTCCTGAAAAGAACCGGATCAAAAGAATGATTCTTTCCGGAATCAGAAAATGTGTTTCATTTAAAAATGTCAGAATGGTGACTATTCCTTAAACCGAAGAAGATATACATTACCATAGAAGCTTGCGCGCACACATTTATTCTACATAAATGCACATGTACAAAACACTAAGTCTTTCTCTGATCTATCCTTTCTGCCTTTCCATCTTTAAATGGCACAGCACAATGGGGCAAGTACTATCTCTTTGTCTTTTACTGTTCCCTCACTGTCTGTTCTCCTGATTTTAGCCATTTTATTGACATTATTTAGATTTAATTTGCATTCATTTATGCATTATTTGAAGTTACATTTTCTATGCTTAACTCATCCGTTTGTTTGAGTAGCCTATGTTTTGTTATGCATGGTTTGTGTAACATTGGCCGATTATTAAACCGTGTTTGGTGCTTGTCTAAACATGCATGCACAGATATGTTAAAAAAGAACGGAGCCTTTTAATGTTTAAATAACAGATTTGTATTGCCCATGCAAATGCAAAGCACCACATATTACTAGGGTGTTGCTATGTGTTTGCTGAAGAGGTGCTCTGAGCAGTGTTATTTTTTTACTATTAATAGTACCTATTCATATTTTGAACGAACTTTTTAAAATATATTTTCTAGTGATGTCAAGTCGATTAATTGCGATTATTTACATCCACAATAAAAGTTTGTTTACATAATATATGTGTGTGTATATTTAAATGTGTATATATAAACACACACACACACATATACATATAAATATACACAGAACACACACATATATTATGTAAACGTTTACTTTGGATGTGATTAATCGCGATTAATCGACTTGACAGCACTAATATATTCAGATCATTTTAATTTCTTTAGTATTTTTATGTACTTTCATCATTTTTATTAGTTTTTTGTACTTCTGTTTAACTAGTTTTACTAATTTTACTACTTAAAATTAATGATTTCAGTTAGCAAAGGAAGCATTTCCCATTTTTGTTTAAGGAGTTAAAACATTTTTATTCAGCTTTATTCCAATTACCAAAAACTGAAAACTCTTTCAGTGTGTGTTTAAAATAATCATAAGCCTAATTGCTTTAAAAATTAATAGCACACCTCTCCACAACAAACCACACTATTTGTTGTATCATTCAGGCCCGTAGCGTGAAGGCTTGTGAGATGAATTATGAGTTTTATTCTTGCAACACTGCACAGAGGCCATGCAGAAGGATCATACTAGAATGCAGAGCTCTGAGCCAGAAGCCTTTCCCCCTTCTCACTGTTCATCAGCATAATTATTTTAGCATAACAGTGCTTTGTAAGATCACATAGCTTTAACTTGAATCATTACATGTAAGAAAGCCAACAAAGGAAATTTTAGCTTGTGAAACAATGTGTAAAGCAGGTTTTGAAACCTGGAAGGGCCACAGAAGGTCATATTGTGGCTTGTAAGCAGTAACAGTCAGCTACTTGAGGAAACTCTCGCCACACAAGCGGTCACAGGAATTTGATGTTTTGTACGCCAATTATAATTGTGCGTCTAATTTATTATGTGCGAGCGTGTTTGGGTGCGTGTTAATGTGCTAAAACTGATATTTCTGTATCCTGGCGTGTGCTACTGCAGATATGTGTGAGATGTGGTATCTGTTTCTCTCTCTTCCTCCTCTTATTCCCTCTCTCTCCATTTCTTGTCATAAAGAATCCTGGCATAGGTTTACGGGCTCGTAAAGAGGCAGGTCCATATGGTTATTGAGAAAGGGAAAAGAGGCAGCGGCGCAGGGGTCAGGTTTTGCAGTGGTCTTCCGAGTGCTCCTGGATACCTTAGGAGCCCGACTTTGCACTCTGGGAGCTCCACAGGGCTTGTTTGACCAAAGCCGAAAGCCGAATGTAAACTTCAGAAAGGCAGAACTAGAGAAGTGTGGCGTTTGGGAGCCGTGTAGAGCAAATAATGAGAAGAACAGGTGAACACGGAGCTCTCTCGAGGGATGTGTCCTTACGGCTGCTCGTAACTGAAAACTGTGATGATGGACTCGGGTGCTTGGACCTGGCAGACTCTGAACTTGACTGGATCTTAGAAGTTGTGGATGTTTCTGCTTGATTAGCCTCACATGTGTGTGTCACCAAGTACTCAACACTGCAAAAAATTATGGTCTTAACGCCCGTTCACACCAAGGATGATAACTATTACGATAACGAAAGATATAGTTTTAAATGTAGAATATCGGAGTTAACATCATAATTGTAATAACACTTTCACAACGATTTTTTTCCATCGGATTAACGATAAAATCATTGACAGCCAATCAGAATCCATCCTGCTTTAAAGAGTGCAACCATTTAAAGTGACAGACTACATAACGACAGTGTGTGCTTATAATAAATAGAACATTATCATCTGTTGGTGTAGACACTAATATAGTTATTGTCATAGTTATCTTTAGCGTTATCGTTTTGGGGGTGAACGGTCCTCAGTATTTTTGTCTTGTTTACCTTAGATCATGAATCGTTTACTTAGAGCTACATAACAAAAGATACTGTCTTGTAAAATGTATCAATGTTTTTTTTTTATTTATGCTTAAAACAAGAAAAAAAGAAGATATTGGCAGATATTGTTTTCTTGTTTTAAGCAAAACCTCACCGCATTTTTCAGAAAGCAAGACTTATCTTCTCAAGTAAATGTATGTTCATTTAAGAATGTTTTGATGTTTGTACTGGAAAACAAGACAAAAAAATTGAGAAAGAAAATAATTTGTTGCAGTGGAAAGTTTTGTTGGAGATCAGAGATGCTGAGAGCATTAGTTTGAGAAGAAAAGAATCTGACATGGTGCTAATTATATTGACGGCAAATTCAGAGCAGATGTGTGGCCATTAACTCATTGACACATTTGACAGAATCTTCAAACACCCATTTGCACACAAACAAAGGTCTAATACCACCCTGTTTTGACATGCACAAACCATATCACGTCGGCCTCCCTGTCTTTTATCAGCTGGTGATGGCTGTGTCATGGTTTTTCTGATCAGAAGCTCTGCTAATGGCAATAACGAGAGCAGAGCTAATGAGGGACTGTGTATAGACACAGATGACAAGGCCGCAGATTATGCTTGATTGTATTTGC